TTATGAAAGATGGCTCTTTAAGGGTTCTTTTGTAAAGAAAATGGTACTATATAGAACCATGAACACTCAAAGAACCCTTTGCCTGATAAATGAGTTCTTTGCATCATGAAACGGTTTTTCAGATTGATGGAGAATGTGCCGTAAGTTTTTCTGTTTAGTATCTTTTTGAAAAGGGTTCTACATAGCACCCAAAGGGTTCTGCTATAATAGAAGAACACTTTTTTGGTACTATATAAAAGGTGCTATATAGTACCGTAAACAGCACATTGTCCATCAATCTGAAGAACCCCATTCATGACGCAGAAAAATGCTCTAATTATGCAAAGCGTTTTTTGAGTGTCCATGGTTTTATATAGAACCATGTTCTTTACTAAACAACCTTTGAAGAACCAACTTTAAAAGTGATAGCATTACTGCTACTGAGTACTGATTGTTGGCATTACTGCTACTGAATACCGATAGCATTACTGCTACTGAGTACTGATTGGTTGGCATTACTGCTACTGAATACCGATAGCATTACTGCTACTGAGTACTGATTGGTTGGCATTACTGCTACTGAATACCGATAGCATTACTGCTACTGAGTACTGATTGGTTGGCATTACTGCTATTGAATACCGATAGCATTACTGCTACTGAGTACTGATTGGTTGGCATTAATGCTACTGAATACTGATAGCATTACTGCTACTGAGTACTGATTGGTTGGCATTAATGCTACTGAATACTGATAGCATTACTGCTACTGAGTACTGATTGGTTGGCATTACTGCTACTGAATACTGATAGCATTACTGCTACTGAGTACTGATTGGTTGGCATTAATGCTACTGAATACTGATAGCATTACTGCTACTGAGTACTGATTGGTTGGCATTAATGCTACTGAATACTGATAGCATTACTGCTACTGAGTACTGATTGGTTGGCATTACTGCTACTGAATACTGATAGCATTACTGCTACTGAGTACTGATTGGTTGGCATTAATGCTATTGAATACCGATAGCATTACTGCTACTGAGTACTGATTGGTTGGCATTACTGCTATTGAATACCGATAGCATTACTGCTACTGAGTACTGATTGGTTGGCATTAATGCTACTGAATACTGATAGCATTACTGCTACTGAGTACTGATTGGTTGGCATTACTGCTACTGAATACTGATAGCATTACTGCTACTGAATACTGATTGGTTGGCATTACTGCTATTGAATACTGATAGCATTACTGCTACTGAGTACTGATTGGTTGGCATTACTGCTATTGAATACTGATAGCATTACTGCTACTGAGTACTGATTGGTTGGCATTACTGCTACTGAATACTGATAGCATTACTGCTACTGAGTACTGATTTGTTGGCATTACTGCTACTGAGTAATGATAGCATTACTGCTACTGAGTACTGATTGGTTGGCATTACTGCTATTGAATACTGATAGCATTACTGCTACTGAGTACGGATTGGTTGGCATTACTGCTACTGAGTACTGATTGGTTGGCATTACTGCTACTGAATACTGATAGCATTACTGCTACTGAGTACTGATTGGTTGGCATTACTGCTACTGAATACTGATAGCATTACTGCTACTGAGTACTGATTGGTTGGCATTACTGTTACTTAGTGCTGATTGGTTGGCATTACTGCTACTGAGCACTGATTGGTTGGCATTACTGCTACATAGTACTGATTGGTTGGCATTACTGCTACTTAGTACTGATTGGTTGGCATTACTGCTACATAGTACTGATTAGTTGGCATTACTGCTACTAAGTGCTGATTGGTTGGCATTACTGCTACTTAGTGCTGATTGGTTGGCATTACTGCTACAGAGTGCTGAAGTGAGTGTGTGTGTGTGAAAATAAGTTTCAGGGATTTTAAGTTTTAGTGCACAATTTAAATTTATTTGCTGAGTTTAACATACTTGAAAAAAAATATATAAAACATGCTATCACTTCTGGACATATTTTATGTTTAATTTTTTCCCCAATATGTGACATTCAGCAAATAGCGTGCATTAAAACGTGTGTTCTCTGTAGAGAATGTGTTAAACTTATTTTCACGTAGAAAATCAAGAAATGCATGTCATTCGGCCAGGGGTGCCCAAACTTTTGCATCCATCATTATGGGAACACATATGACTTATTACTCGTTTCTGAACGACTCCATTAGAGAAAAAGTGAAGCAGTGACATCACACCGTGCAAAACGCTGACACCACTCAACCAGCTGAAGGACGGCGTCCAAGTTCCTCAAAAATTCCTCTGGAATTCAGCAACTGCCTACGGAGCCCCTGTAAGAATCTGGTGCGCACCAGATACTATCAGGCAAGCACCCAATACTATCAGCTAAGCACCCAATACTATCAAGTGAGCACCATATTCTATGTGGTGAGCACAAGATACTATCAGGTGAGCACCCAGTGCTATCAGTATTTTTTCTTGTGCCATCTGTCGTGACTCTAAAACGTCATATATGTCTTCTTCCATGATGGAATGACGGAGGATAACAAGCACAGCTGGTCGTCTGTGAAGTCATGATACTATGGACCCCTATGAATATTATTTTAATATATATATATATATATATATATATATATATATATATATATATATATATTTGCATATACTATTGGGTGCTCACCTGATACAAAACATCCCTTTTACCTAAAAAAACCCCTTTCAGGGGTTCTGTAACTGCCCATTCACTTCTAATATAATATCTATAGTTCTAATACACTTCTAATATAATATATATAACGTTGTTAGAGTCTGTGGGTTTTCCGATCTTTTGGAAACACAGGGAAATGTGGTGAAGTTACTGTCTGTGGTAACTGACCACATGCTACAGATACAGAAGACAGAGCTTATGTTATGAAAATGCTGGAGTATTCCTCTAAAATCTAGGAACTCCGAGATTATATAGGACTTATTATTCCTTTAACGCACTCGCACAGCACTCAGCAGCAGATCGAGACACTATACCTGTCCACTCTGGTGGGCATCTGCAGGAGTAATGGTCACCTCTGTCCAAGCACTGGCCTCCATTCTGGCACAGATTGTCCGAGCACTTACCCCTGTTCATCCAAATCTCCTGCCCTGTTTTGAATAAATGACCATTAGAGTCCTCAAATTACACAGAGCGATTCCTTAAAGCAGTTTAAGGACAGCAATAAGCAGATTCCAGGCCTAACATGGCATCTGGCCACCACCATAATTCATTACCATGTTCCTGTTTCTCTCCTGTGTCTCTCACTGCAGTAACCACTGTTATCACACACAGCAAAAGCAGCACAAACAGACTTCTGATCATTTTAACCTGGTAAATGAAGTCAGAGGAAAGCTTTACTCCCTTACTATACCGACAGCATTGAGGACTTTGCTTTGGGTAAACGTTAGCTGACGGTATGTGCCGGGAATTGGGGTCAGTGGGCCTAAACGACCCTGTTGATCCACATACAAGCCCTCACGGTCAAAGACACAGCCCGTATATACGGTCATGAGTCAACAGTGGAGGGGGGCTTCAAAGTGGCTTGGCTAGCTTAAGGGATTCCAACAAGGCACGAAAGTGATTTTAAAGGGGAATTCTACAGATTTTTAAAATTTCCTGCAGTGTTTTGGTGTGAAAAGCTCTGTTCTAGAGAAACTCACCAAGTCAAAACTGTTCACAGTGGTGGTGATAGGAACCAGACGTCCACATCTAAAAGCTCCCTCATGGAAAATTATTACATAAAATGGTTATGAATTCACTGCCTGATATGATTTGAAAAGGTTTTGGCTTAAAATTTATTTTTTTAACTTCCACTTACAACTTCTTTATTATTTTACCATCATCAACATTCTTTTTGCATAATAAATAAAAGGGCTATATTTGTTTGGTAGACATGGCGACCCCTGGTTCCTTTAACCACCACTCACTGCAGAGACTCAGTGCAGAGTCTCTACAGTGAAACATCTCACACCAAACCACTCTGAATGACTTTGATCTTAATGTTGGAATTAGGAAATTTTGAAAAATCAGTGGAATTTCCCTTCAACCCATGGGTGCTGAATTTTTAACAGCATATATGTAATTAGCACTGTCACATCATGCTGAATACTACATGTACTTATTTATCACACAACAGCTGCATACATACAGTCATGTGCAAAAGTTTGGGCGCCTCTGGTCATACACTGGTCAAGTTTGGTCGATTTTCTAAGTGTAAATAAGTGAACACACCCCCTACAGAGGACGCAGTTCTGCACATTTTAGTGCACAGTTACTATTTATTTACTGAATAAATGCCATGTTTAAGTTTGTTTTCTGTAACTTATTCTCAATGCAAAATCCATTAAACATGGCATTTGACCAGGGGTGCCTAAACTTTTGCACACAACCGTATGTACATAACAGCACCGGGGGGCTTTCAGGAGCAGCACTGGAAAACCAGATTTGCCCAACAAAGAAACATACACAGATTAAAATGTGCCAAATATATTAATAATGATTAATAATTAATAATGATTATTATTATAATCATTAAATATATTAAGATTCAAATGTGCAGATGTAGAATAAAGACATTCATTTAAATTCAGCACATCTTCACTTTCATTTAAAACCATATAGTACAATTATGAAATACATGAATAATATGGGCCTTGAGGCGATGTCTATAACAGATTAGCCCCCTCTAGTGACAGAACTGAATAAAACATCTTCAGTGCCCCCCGTACTCCTTCTCCTCCCTTCTCCCTCCTCCTCCGTCCTCCTCCTTTAGCTCAGCAAACCTGTAGGACTAAATTAAGCTGAACTAGTTTCAATTTTTCCAACATCTTGGTGTGCGTCATCTCTAGAGTCATGCAATCAACATGACTCTCAGCAGATCTCTTTGCATTCCTGCAGGTTGAGGGTAAAGAGGTGAAGGTGTGGCCTGCAGAGGTTAATTGGCCGCACACTGATGAGTTAAATACAGCCACCTGGTGTCGTGGCTGTTTGTGTCAGTATGAAGTCGCCAGTGTTCTGTGTCTGTTTCTGTGTTTTTGTGTTGGGAGCAGCTCAGCTGTTTACTGACCAAGACCCCAAAGTAAGCTAAACCAGTCAATCACATCTGGTGGAAAGTACAATGAGTTTTATTTCTAAACACATGAGTGCGTCTTTGTTTGACCGCAGCAGGCCATGCGCTGCAATGTTACCGGTCAGTGGAAGAGTGAGCAGGGCTCCATGCTGCAGCTGACCTCCACTGGCCCAGAGGTGAGGGGAGTTTATCACACCGCAGTGGAGACAGCGTTCGGGGCATCGGGCCACAACCGGGAGTCGAAAGTGGTCGGGGTGGTTGGTGACGGCCCCCAACCCGCCGTTGCCTTCTCTGTGCTGTGGGCGAAAGGTAGGCAGAGGCTGTTTTAGCTTTTTATCAGAAATTTAGTTTAAACTGGTAAAAATATGTGAAAGAATATGAAATTTGACATGTAAAAGTCAAATTTTAACATCAGAATTGGATATTTTGTAGCAATTTTAGTTCCCACTAGTTAAAGTTTTCCTAATTTGAACGATGGGAACAGTATTCACTAGTACAAAGTTTGACATGGTTTTAAAAGTTGTCAAGTTAATATGTAGCCTCTTATGCTTCTTGGAACCACCGGTGGTTCCAAAACGCACTTCATCATATTCTTCATAACTTTCATATTTCATAAGCTACATTACTGTAACACTTTGTGTACTGAAAATCCCATTTTTCCACAAATCTGGGCTATAAACTATAAACAGATGGTGTCTCTTCAGTGATCTGCTCTGTAAAAATTACTTTTATTAAAAATACAATGAGTGTCTAAGATTTTTGGCTTTTAGCAGTAAATGCAATATGTGTATCATAAAACACATGTTCTGTTAATTTGAGGGGAGCTTTTATGAAAATAAATAATAAAAATTTGCATTTATTTCATACAGTTACTGAATAATTTGCCTTAAGATTTGGTCATGTAAATTCAGATGGACAAACAAAAATATGCCCTGGAGAATAAGAGATTAACTACATGCTCAAATTAGTGAAAAATGAATTTAAAATTTCTCTAGTAATCAGTTTGAAGGTGTTATGATTACAACTTCAACAAAAGTTATTGTGAAAAGTTGGGTTCAAAATTTATCTCGGACTAGTAAAGATTATTGGGAAAATGTTTTGATTCTGACGAAACTCTTATCTTATGTATAGTTCCTTCTGAAGTTGTGTTTTTTTTTGCCATTTTTGAATAATTTGATATCATTTTACATCAAATGTGTTTATTTATGGATTGTTGTACTTGGATTGAATTGTGTGGATTGTATTTCAACTTGTTCCATTTCTAAAATTCTCGTTGTGAAAGTTTGGGTTAAAATCATCTAAAACACAGTGTGGCCTGTGCAAAAGTTATGGCACCTTTTCATATTTTAGTGCCCCAATGTGAAGCATTGTTCTTTTATGCATGCGGGTCAGTTTAGGAGTCTGGTCTGTTCTGACTAATGTTAAATTAAAAATCTCATGATCAGACTAACAAAAATCAGCTCTGGACCACTTTTACCTGCTGTGTGAACGCAGCCTAAAGGAAAGGATAAAACCAGAAAAGCGTAATTAGTCCCCTTTAAGTTTGTTCTCGTTACAGGATGTGTTAACTCATTTTCACTTAAGATCAACAAAACATGTCCTTTGACTGGAAGTATTTAAAGATTTGCATACTACTGCATAGCCTCCCAGTGTTACTTCTGTTTGGTGCTTTCTGGTTTGTGTTCCACTTTTAAATGGTGTGTAATTAACACATGGTGTCATCGCCATTTACGCGTTTTGGCACAAGAACATGACACATCTGACAGATTGCGTAGCCCAGAGCACCTTTGTTTTTAGCACCTCTGCTTTTGAGAGTGTTGCTTCATGGTTGCTTCACTTCTATAGAAGGAGGTCTCACCTCGGTGGATCTATTCCTGTCCGAGCCAGTCGAGATCTCCTCCTGTGTACAATGAATAAATGCTTTCTTGCTTTTGCTTTGAGAACCTCCAGCATGGTTTGGTCTGGTTTGTGTGGTTTCTCTGTAGGGTCATGCAGCTCCTGGGTTGGCCAGTGCTTCTTGTTGCCAGGTGGTGGTCAGGTTCTAAAAACCCTGTGGATGTTGCGCTCAGTTGCTGAGAGCTCTTTAGACAACTGGGAGAGTACCAGGTATGCTCAGAGCATAGAACATTCTGAATAGAACATGATGCCCAGTCTGTTTTTCTTATTCCTTTATTCTTTTATTCATTTCTTTTTCAGGTTGGGAGAAGACCAGTTCATTTTTGTGGGAAATGTGGGAAGTGCAGATGGGCACTGATCTTGAAGTTTACCAACATCCACAGTTGGTTCCATTAGAATTAATGCTACTGGAGTTGATTAAGCTTCTGAGCCCTGATCTAGGATTGAATTCCTCTTTTATTTTTGGCAATGGGAGCAGATCCTAGACCAGCTCTCCAACTCTGAAGTCCTGGTGGCATTTGGGTGTGTGTTAAATTGGCCTTTACAATGGAGTCAACACCTCCTGCTGAAAGTTCCGTAAATGAGCATGGTGTTCTGACCGACACTGACCTTTTGGACTGACTGTCAAACACTTTTCCACATCCTCAGTTAATAAATACTGGCAAACCTTCTCAGTGTGTAATTTTTCTTTTCGTTTTCTTTCTTCACCTCGGCGTCCACCACAGTTCGCTCAGACTTTCAGCCTCTTGCTGTACATTTAACAACATTCAGCTGAAATGCTTTGGGCAAAAAACTTACCTCGGATTTAATCAATCAGCCAAGATGTGGTTGGTGTCCAAGTTTTGCTTGTGTACTTTAGTGCTGGAACAGCAAAGTTAGTTGAGCAAATACTTTACAGTCAATAGTCACAAATCTTTTATGCAAATGCATTCCTCAAAACTTCCCTCAATCCACTTAAACCACGTTCAGGACCCTGTTTCAATACTTTTTGAGCAAATATGCCCTCGCCCACCTCGACTTGACTCATAAGCGCATAACACAAAGGTTACCCAAGTGGCTACTCACAGTGTGACATGAAGAGAGAAGTGGTGAATAGATTATTCACTGACTCTCAGCTATGTTGGCCTCACTGCGCTAATCTACTAGCCATGCAAAGTTTGCACTGCAAAATTTATATAACATGGATAAATTTGTGAATATCACTTTGTCTGACTATAAACTTTACTTTAGAACTCTTGAACTCTAGAACTCTAACTAGAGAGATAGATAGATAGATAGATAGATAGATAGATAGATAACTTTAATACCTGAGGGGAAAGTCATCTATTACAACAGCGTACAGTACAGTATAGACCAAAACGAGCAAAAGTAAACCTCGTATCTCCATTTTTGTCATTTGTTTTTCAGTTTGACATAACTTGAAAATGCCTGTTGCCCTTTACATTGTGTGTAAATGTCATGATGAATGGATCAAAAGAAATGGCCCAAAATTACTTGGAAGAAAGTTTTACATTGACTAACATAAGTAAAGTAGCCCCCCCCTTCTGTAAAGTTACCATTTTTGAGATACAAGGTTTTGTTCCAACAGTGATAATTAGAAGATATATAATAAAATATTCTAAAACAACCATAAAGTATTATGTGCAGTACAAAAGTGAAATTGCAAAAATATTAGGTTGACAATGCAGTGGCACATATCACATCCAGTGAATGAGCTGAATGAGTAAACACTGTTCACAAAAACATATCGCTGTTGTCAGAAGAAAACCTTGTATCTCCAAAATGGTTGTTTTACAGGAGGAGGAAAAAACATGCTCCACTTTAATATAAGTCAATGGAACCAAACTTTTTTTGGGTTGTTTCTTTTGGTCCGTTCATCATGAATGTAAAGGGCAACAGGTACTTTCAAATTATGCCAAAAACTGAAAAAATGAGTCTGTTGCTGAAGGTGCTTCGCTGTCTGACCAGTAGGTCATGGAGAGGGTGTGATGTATTGTCCAGGATAGCAATGAGTTCAAGTGACTTTCTTTCTACCACCACCTCAAAACCATCCAGTGAGCAAAGTAGTGGTGATGTATCAGCAGTCATGCATAACAGATGGAGTTTGCAACTTGAAGTCTAGCAAATCAAATGTTATGGTTTTGAAATGTGTTTTACTGTTATGGCTTATAAACCACTTTATCTACTTTTTTATTATTATTTTATTTATTTATTTTTTAAAGCTGCCGAGGGTTCTGCTGCCAAAGTTGACACCTGCATTCACTCAGTCCCTCCTTTAACAAAGTTCACTCGAACTAATAAAATAACAGAACGGCCCTTAATATGACACTGGGATTTCCCCTGAGAGTAAATGGTGAGGCCAAGTGGACGAGAGCTTGTTTAAACCAGTATTTAAATGGGCAGCAGGTCTTCATTAAGGTCACACGTGGTTTAGGATGCAGTATGTTTCTGTCCTAAGTCGTTCTCTAATGGTTCTCCTTTGGTGACCTCAACAGTCTGCAGACCTACACAGTGCTTGGTTTAAACGTGTGCTGGACGTGGGGTATTCGTCATACCTGTCTTGTAAAATAAGCTAGTTTGCTTGTCTACAGTGGCTCAAATCAGATTGCAGCTCAATAACAAAGCATTTTTACTCACATCTGAATGTACTACATTAACCAAACTGCTAAAAACCACCCTCTCTGATTGGTGCTTGCCTCAAATGTCAGATGCTAATTATTCATTTTATAGTTTGAGCAGGTTGAAGGAAGTTTTAGGGATGTACTTACAAAAGGATTTGGGTGGCTATTGATGTCGTTAGTAGGGTGGCACGGTGGAGCAGCGGGTAGCGCTGTCACCTCACAGCAAGAATGGCCTGGGTTAGATTCCCAGCCGGGCGACCGGGGTAGTTTCTGTGTGGAGTTTGCCTGTTCTCCCCATGTCTGCGTGGGTGTTCTCCGGTTTCCAAAGACATGCAGTCAGTTGCCCCTAGGTGTGAGTGTGTCTGTCTGCCCTGTCCAGGGTGTATCCTGCCTTCCGCCCAATGACAACTGGGATAGGCTCCGGCACCCCACCGTGACCCAGAAGGATAAGTGGTTTAGATGGGGTGTGTGTGTGTGTGTGTGTGTGTGTGTGTGTGATGTTGTTAGCAAAATCAGCCTCATAGCTCCAGCGCTAAATTTAAGTAAAATTTGAACACTAAACATGTCTTGGCTAATTAGCATGTGGAGTACATGGATAAATGTTAAATCTGCGTTTTTACTTTCTTTAAACGTAGACTGGCCTGAAGACCCTCTAATCAACTTATACTTGCTCTGTTGGAGTTTTCATTTGGACACTTCCAGCAGGAGGCTCAGTGGGAGCCAAGGCCAAGCCAGGACTGGATCTTTTCCTTTTGAAATATTCCCAAGAAACTAGCAGCTGTGCTGTCTGGGACGGACTTTTCACGTTAATCTATAAAGTGTTTGCAGTCGATTCAACTTTAGTAGGGAGCAATTAAAAGTTTCTCTCCAATTCCAAAGCAACAGTTAGCTAAATTTAGCCAAGAAAACAGGTCTTCTCATCCCATGTTTGGCGAGAGTCAGAGCAGAGGGTGTCGGAGTGAGTAAGGAAAAGACTTTTGGAGGGGAAAGGAGAAACATTAATCAAGGCATTAGACTGTAAGGTGTTTAGCCGGAGCTACATCTTCACGAGTAGACTTGCTCATCTATCATGGGAGGGCTGGAGATCACAGCTGCTGTAATGGAACCTCCTCCTGTGCTGGAGTGCAGTGTTTTACTGCTTATTGTGGTCCTCATCATTGTCCTTGATGTTCAAACGGACTGTTAATGGTGGGGGGGATCCAACAACTCTTTCTTGTGGCGAGGTGAAAAACTACCTAAGCTGAAAGACTGACTTCAAGTTCATACGTTCATTGAAATTCTGATGTATTTGAATGAAACTCTAACATAAAGATCACATGATTGAAAGATTGTTTGCTTCGAGAGTTTCCAAGAAGACTTTATACCTGAGGTGTAAAACTGCATTCCGTCTGGGCTGTAACTCTGCAGAGTTGAGCTCTATCTTAAGGGGGAACTGATTTTCTGCATAATCAGAAGTTTAACACGTAAACAAGGTTGTTCAGAGAGTTTTGATGTGAATTATTCCGTTCTAGAGAAACCTAGACTCGCAGGGGTCATGAATGGAACCAGACGTCTGAAGAGTTTAATGTCTCTAAGAGCTAAAAAGTTCGCAAAGTTATTTTATGAATCGATAATGAATATGCTGCTTGATGTCAAACGTTGTTTTATGATAGATTTATGATAGATTTTCAGTGCATTCAGTGCATTATAGGGCAAAATAGTGACCAAAATGTGTTTTTTTATTTATTCATTTATTTATTTATTTTTTTAGGGCTACTGTTAATAAAAATAATAGACTTCATCAAAAAAGTCGTACTATTTCAAGAATGAAGTCTTAATATTTGGAGGATAAAGTGGGCTAACTGTAGGGGGGCTGCCATAACGCGTTGGGGTCTCGGTTGCTGTACTGGCGCCGGAGCTCCACTCACTGTTGTCTCTTTGTGGATCATTTTGATCATCATTCTCACTGTCTGTGAAACTTCATGCCCTCTTTGAATGGTGTGGAGATGTAGCCCCGATAGCCGTGTAGACGACCCTGCCTGAGATTCTCCTTCAACAACACAGACAGACAGTTTCCTCCGAGTCCGTCTGGCTCTTTATTCTAGATAAACACAGTTTCCTGCTCAGCCGTTTCAGCCGGTTCTTATACTAATAACAGGCTGGTGCTGATGTGCAGGAGAGACAGGGAGACTGAGTGTTTCTTTATGGGTGAATCAATATGAAAGTAGAACTCCACCAACTCACCGCCCCTCATTTAACATGAGGAGGTGCTGCCTTCCCTTCACAAAGCCTTTGGCCACAATATTGCGTTCTTTCCTGATCTTTCTCGGAATTTTACGTCTTTTTTTCGTGAAATATTACGAATTTTTCTCGAAATAGTATAGTACGTATACAGTACATATAATACATATAGAACTGTGTAGGTTCACTGGTGGTTTTGGATAGTAAATAAAATGTCTGTGTTGTAGTCATGGCGACCCCTGGTTCCTATCACCACCACTGTAAAGACATCAGAATTTCACACTGAACCACTGTGAAAGTCTGTTTGCATCTTATATGTACTAAATTATGTAGAAATTTTGTAGAGATTGGTGGAACTCCCCTTTAAACACACCTCATTGCATTCACCAGCTAATTAGCGAGGGTTTCATGTGTTGAACTCGGATGACCTTCCCCAATCCGGTCCCTTCGCGTTCTCATTTCATTAAGGAGTGCCACGTATGTGGAGGAGCTCCTTATGAAGAGAGAGATGTTTCAGCACATGGGTAAACTTTGGGGACGCCCTTGCCACGCTCCAGTGGAAGGAGGGAGCTGCCGTCACCATGGCTACCGTCGCTTGCTGAGCTGTGCTGCATTAGTT